AACATCTGCGTCACTTCCACCAACACCTGCGTCACTTCCACCAACATCTGCTTCACTTCCACCAACATCTGCGTCACTTCCACCAACATCTGCGTCACTTCCACCAACATTAACTAACATTAACATTAATGCTGGTTCCAATATCATGTTGTTGTTTGGGCCACTGTACATTATAACACATAGTACATTTGCCTTTACAATTGTAAAAATGGCATCATAAAACAAATAGCGAGATTTCAGTCCCCTGTGTAAATCCATACATAGCCATGGCAGGCTATTTCAGCAAACAATTCTTTAAGGCCCAAACCCAGGCAGAGCACTGGGTTCATGAACCCCTTCTGAATTACTTAAAATGTGTACCGCAAACGCATGGTTATGGGAGTTTGTTGGTGGGAGCAGGAGACACTGTGGGGGTCAATGGGCCCCGTGGCCTGGTTGGTTGCAGAGAGCAGCGGCTCCTCAGCTGAGATGCTATTTTTAGCACAACATCTTGTGTGTTACCACAGAAGATGCCTAAACCACCATACCAAGTTGTCTCTACTTAAAGGTTTCAGTGGGTTGCACACTGAGTTAGTTCAACTTTTTTCAAAGGTATTTGTTGTCTTAACTCAAAAAAAGATGTTAGGGCAACAAATTTGAAGTTGGGCTTTTTAGAGTGACAAACACACAGAATCAGTCGGGTTTTTGGATTGGATTTTTTTGTACGTTGTTTGATATTTCCTAATTGTTATTGTTTGGACCCATTACATATGCATATCCATTTCATACACCAATAGTGTTACTTATTACACAGTGAAAAGTTATTCACCTCGAAGAAAAGTTCAAAAAGAGGAAAAATAATACAAATGAACAACATAACAACAATTGTTAAGTGTCAAATAAATAATACTGACAATATTGTAAAGTAGAATGCAACAGCAATAAAAGTGAGGTAAATAAATGAAATACAAATTTCCACTAAAACGGAAAAGTGCAATACTAGAGTAAAATTATAAAGTGTAATACTCAGAGCCCAAAGGAAAATAAAATGAATTAGTAACGTAGAGCATATTATGAGGGGTTTTGCTAAAAATATTGAAAAAGTAGAACAAAGTTGTGTTTCATATATTATTAATGTTAATTTATCTACTAATTCAGTTTTGCAATAAATTGTCGCACCAATTATTTAATTGAAAACCATTTTTTTTCTGAAAATTACACTCAGCATTTTCTGTTTTATGGCTCATAAATACATCTAATATTCTGTTGCAATAAATGTCAGCAAAATTCAGTAGTAAAGGGGAACTAAACCCTCAGCGTTGGCATAAAAGAACAGGAAACGTCTCGTTTATCAGGGAATACTTCCTTATCAGGGAAGCTTCTATCTTCCATCAGTCAGCGGCTAAACTGGCTGACTGAGAGATTAAAAAGGGCATAAAGACGTTTATCAATGCGACACGGACTCATACGAGTACAAAGCAACGCGCCAGATGGACGTTGGAGGATGGATGGATGTTCAGGGCTGAATTCATGTGTCGATGTTGATTTATTTGTGTCGTGACTTCCGTTATCACTTACTTACTTAAGCCATAAAACACTTACATAGATATTTTAACCCAAACCTCAATCTTTTCCAAAGCTCAGCGAAGTAATTAGTTAAGTAAAACTCAGTATTTGTGTTGCTTGGACAGAACGGAACAGTTTCCTGTGACCACAAACTTTATTTTGAAGGACTGCAGTATTGTTACTATAGAGAATTCGGTTCCTGTAGTAACTGCTGTGAATGACGATGTTTTCCCCCCTGAGCTCACCCTGAACGTGACTGGGAGCTCACCTGAAGATAATACAGATATTAGAGCAAGACCTTGCGTGTCCCTTGCGTGTCTTTTCACTGCTCCCCGCGTGCGTCGACCCATTTTTCTAGACTAGCGTCCAAAGCGACGCAGCCTCCTGCAGCACCAGGCTGTGATTGGTCTGCTGACTACGTCCTTTACGGAGTCTCACATCCCCGTTTTCACAGCACAATACGGCCGTTATTAAAAGGAAGAACGTTTACGAGAGAACGGATCAGATTGAAGAGCTTTTGTGGGAAGAAATTAGTAAATATGAGCGCTTGTACAAGCCGTCATTGGCGGACTATGAGGACGCCGGATGGCCTCTGATTCATGGAGGGAGATCTCCACAAACGAGGGGAACAAAGTCGTGGAGGAAAATACGGGACAAATGTGTCCTTGATGAAAAGCAGCAGTGTGGATGCACGGGGCAATAAAGTCTATGATAAATGAATAAAGCAACCAGCGACTTCCACACACAAAGACGTGACTCTCCAGGTCGTCTTCAACAAAACACGTGACTCCACCGGTTGTTCTGGCGAGGATATGTGTCGTTAAATTAGTTAAAAGAGTTGAATATATATGCATGTATGTCTGTATGCATAGTTGGATATGTGTGACTATCCAAGATGGCGACGGGCAAAGATTTTTATTGTTTATTTATTAATTGAATTGTATTTAAGGAAACCAGAGCCGCGCGTTGAAGGAACGTGAGAAGCCGACCTTCTGCGTCTGATCCATTGGTTCAAGGAGATTTCTGAACATTGGCATGACACTTTACATGAAGTAAAATATTCTGTCCCAGAGCAACTCGGGGTAATTGATTTACACAGGACACTTATCCCCAAGTCACTGAAATAAACACAACAACAAACAGTGAGCTCGTTGTGCGTGTGCAGTACCAGATACAAGCTGCTCTTGTTCCATTCAGCCAAGTGGGGATTTCTGTGGTCAAAGTGTCCCAAAGGAAACCAGAATCAGAGAAAACAAGTTTATTTATATAAAAGAAAGCTGCTGGTTATCGTCATCTTCTATCAACCACAGATCCATAAGACAAAGCTGTGGAAATGAACCTGCTGCGATTGTTTCAACTTCCTCCACTGCTTAATATTTACGTTTCCTCTTTCTTACGAAGACGGCAGAAATCAAACTAAAGCCTATATGTGAAAACGATGGGAAGCCGGGTTTATTGGGGGGAATATGCAGTGTTGACACGCCGCAGCTTTGCTCAGAGAAACTCTTGAACTGCCCCAGATACGCTTCTTTAATCGCGTTCCATTATCCCCACTCTGATGTTTTTGTGGGAATTTCCAAGCTGACACAATCTAGAATAAAGTTCTGCTTGAGGACCTGAAAACGGCCTCGCCACAGAACTCAGGGTTTCTTTCCTTAAAGGAATACTTTGACATTTTGGGAAATCAAGGTTAATGCGGATAAATAAGACGAGCCGATTGATGCCACTCTCATATTTGTGGGTTTATTGTAAGGCCAGCAGGCTTGTGGTGACCTCGGATGAAATCATGCAGGTTCACTAGAAGATCCTCCAGCAGAGACCAGTCTACTGTGGACAGACCAGGATTCTCCAGCAGAGACCAGTCTACTGTGGACAGACCATGATCCTCCAGCAGAGACCAGTCTACTGTGGACAGACCATGATCCTCCAGCAGAGACCAGTCTACTGTGGACAGACCATGATCCTCCAGCAGAGACCAGTCTACTGTGGACAGACCAGGATCCTCCAGCAGAGACCAGTCTACTGTGGACAGACCAGGATCCTCCAGCAGAGACCAGTCTACTGTGGACAGACCATGATCCTCCAGCAGAGACCAGTCTACTGTGGACAGACCATGATCCTCCAGCAGAGACCAGTCTACTGTGGACAGACCAGGATCCTCCAGCAGAGACCAGTCTACTGTGGACAGACCATGATCCTCCAGCAGAGACCAGTCTACTGTGGACAGACCATGATCCTCCAGCAGAGACCAGTCTACTGTGGACAGACCAGGATCCTCCAGCAGAGACCAGAGACCTGCAGACGGAGCTCCGGGTGGAACGAAGGTTTCTGTTCCCGGCAGCAGCAGCGTCTCCATCTTATTTGTGACTGAAATCTTTATGGAAGAATACAACTTGATTTCATCTTTGCTATTGGTCTATTTCTGGAACAATTACAGCCTGCTAACTGGGTTGTGCGTTGAGTTCAGATATTATTTCTTGCCACCGGCTCTGAAGAAGTCATTTGATGTACATGGCTCATAAAGAGGAGTAGTAAACGCTTTATGGCCCCTGTGGGGGCCCTGAGGGGTGGATCAGTTCACTCACAGTACAAGACACGGGTCCCTCTCAAAGGTCACAGACATGCAGGTCAGGTAGAGCGAAAGCGATATCTAAATCCAAATGGGTCATTTAGATTATAGAAATTAACGTGTTCTTTTCATTTCAATCGGTTCAAAGACTATTTGATGCCTTTGCAGACTTTTTGGTTGATGCACTTTGCTGGTACAGAAGTTATGTAAAGGAGCTTAAAATAAGTACACACGCTTTATTTTAGGGTTTGATCCACAAATCGTCTCAGTGAATAAGTGACCACTTGTTTCATCTTGTGATTACAACGTACTTCTGTTTCATAGAGGCTTATGTAAGTGTGAAATTGTGCTCGCCAACTTATCCGTCCTGATTTCTCTGGGGTGGGAGGAGAGATGGTGAGGGGGCGAGGGGGGCAGGCTGGAGGACGGTATAAAGCTGAGTCTTTGTTGGAGAAGATCCACACGCTCCAGAGACTCCAGCAGCAGCCATGGACCACCTCCCAAAGGAACAGCGCCGTGCTCCGGGTAAACCTCACACCTCCTCCATTCCTCAGCAATCCTTCTTCTCCTTCTTCTTCTTCTGAATAATGTGACTTTCTCTTTTCCGCAGCAGCCACCAAGTCCAAGTCCAGGAAGATCATCAAGCACTTCACGGACGTGCATGGACTGCCGTGCATCGAGAAGATCGTGAGCTCGGTGGAGGACACCCCCGAGCCCATCGGCACCGACATCACAGGCAGCATCCCGGTGTGGATCCGAGGGAGCTTCCTGAGGAACGGGCCCGGCAAGTTCGAGATTGGAAACCAGAAGTGAGTGTTTGCTCAATGCTTTGAGAAAGAGAACACCAAAAAGAACCAAAAGTAAAGTTGACCCGTCTCCTCTCTGCCCTCCAGGTTCAACCACTGGTTCGACGGCATGGCCCTGCTGCACCAGTTCAAGATAGCCGAGGGCAGGGTGACCTACAAGAGCCGCTTCCTGTCCAGTGACAGCTTCACGGCCAACAAGGAGCACAACCGCATCGTCGTGTCCGAGTTCGGCACCATCACCATGCCGGACCCCTGCAAGAACTTCTTCCAGCGCTTCCTCTCCCGATTCGAATTGCCGAGTGTGTTATCGCTTATTTGCTTCATTGTTTCATTTCAGTATTATTAATATTCATGATGGTGTTTTTGATCAAAACACATCATTTGTTCGGTTTCGTTATTCAAAGACAAGTTATTGTTGGGGTTCTCCTAGCTGTCTTCAAACTTTTCCTCTCCCATCTTCAGAGCCCACGGATAACGCCAACGTGAGCTTTGTGACCTACAAAGGTGATTATTACGTCAGTACGGAGACCAACATCATGCACAAGGTGGACCCTGAAACCCTTAAGACCACCAAGAAGGTAAGACGTGCGTTGAAGCCGTGGACGGATTAAACCCGCGGAGTCCTTTCTCAGTACTTCCTGTCATTGAACCTTTCAGGTGGACTGGAGCAAATTCATCGCGGTGAACGGAGCGACCGCTCACCCTCACACGGAACCCGATGGCACCACCTACAACATGGGGAACTCCTACGGCGCCAAAGGTACGTCCCAGACCGGACGCCACCCGTCGGCTTCAGTGCGTCGTCCTCTGGAGGCTAACCGCTGTCTCTCCTCAGGAGCGAGCTACAACATCATCAAAGTGCCGCCCACCAAGGCGACCGCCGAGGACACCCTGGAGGGGGTTTCCGTGCTATGCTCCATTCCCTCGTCGGACAAGAGCAAACCGTCCTACTACCACAGCTTTGGTGAGCCTGAAACTCGGATTCGAATGGAAAGCCTTCGACCTGGACTGAGGCGACGTTAGAGAGAGTTTTAACTCTACCGAGTCTTCCCGTGAGGAGGCGCTGATTGGATACAGCGACGTCGCTCTCGGCACTTGAGGATCGGCCAGTTAAAGATAAAGAAAGCAGCTTATCTTCTTAGGGCTTCCGTTATCGGTCCCAATTCAGTCCCAATTCAGTCACAGCACTGTGAGTTGGAGTTCAAAAGGTGACCCGGCGAGAACAAAATGATTCCACATAAACTATATGAGCTATGATAACAAATCATTTAATAAATGATTGCTGGTAAACATTGATATTATCTAATTGATCATGTGGTGAGTAACTAGAGCCCTTACACAAAGGAACGGTCAGTTCATCTAATGATGAACCATTTGATCTGTGACATGTAGACATCTTGTTAAATACATCTCATCATGTCTCCCCTGAATCTGAAAGTAAAATCTGTCCTCAGAGCACATCTTTCTGTTTGAAAAGCATGTTTTCACAATTTCCTCTTGTGTAATGAGAATGTATAATATCTTCTAAATGACTTACAGCGATGTCCGAGAACTATGTTGTGTTCATTGAGCAACCCATCAAGATGGACCTGTTGAAGATTGTGACGGGGAAGCTGAGGGGGAAGAGCATCAGCGACAGCTTCCTGTGGGACCCGACCCTCAACACCATCTTCCACCTGATCCACAAGCAGACGGGAACGGTAGGTCTTCCAACACGGACCAATCCAATTCTCCACAGCGTCCTCTTTACCTATTTTTCATCCTTCTGCTTTTCTTCGACCCCCCCCCCCTCCTGCTACTCAGGTGAGCGCCGTCAAGTACCTCGCCAAGCCGCTGTCGACCTTACACCAGATCAACGCCTATGAGGAGGACGGCTTCCTGGTCCTGGACATGTGCGCTTCAGACGACGGCGAGGCAATCAACAACTACAACGTGCAGAACCTGCGCAAGTCTGGAGAAGCCCTTGACGAGGTGAGCGGGTTGAGTAGAGGACCGCTACTAAAGGGCCGCGGTGGCTTCTGGGGTTTTGGGGCTACGAGGTTTTTTTTGCGGCTGAAGAGATGTTCCTGTTGCTCCTTCAGGTGTACAACACCTTGTGCAGGGTCTTCCCACGGCGGTTCGTTCTGCCGCTGAATGTGGACCAAGAGACGCCCTACGGCAGGAACCTGAACCCGAAAGGCAGCGCCACTTCTGTGAGATTCGCCAAGAACAAGGTAGGCCGCCATCAGGACCCAAACACACTGTCATTTATTTATTCCGTGTAAGTGTTACCACGTTGCTTCTATTCCTCCCTTTGTTTAGGTCTTCTGCACCCACGAGGACCTCCACGGAGAGGATTTGAGTGAATACGGAGGTCTGGAGTTCCCTCAGATCAACTACACCAAATACAACACCCGCCCCTACCGCTACTTCTACGGCTGTGGCTTCAGACATCTCGTCGGAGACTCGCTGATCAAGATGGACCTCAGCGGGAAGCGCATGAAGGCAAGTTCGGTTTGATTCTCTACCTTGACATGTGACACTGGACCTGAAATGATGAGTAATCCCCAGATGTTCCCTCTCACAGGTGTGGGAGGAACCCGGGCTGTATCCCTCCGAACCCGTGTTTGTGCCATCACCTAACGCCACGGAGGAGGACGACGGCGTTATCATGTCTGTGGTCATCACGCCCAATAAGGTCAGTGGTGATAGGCCTAGAAAATGTTTTTTTAATGACAAGCCCCGCCCCCTTTTTGGTTAACCGTCAAGAGACTTTTTTTTCTGAGAGAAGATGTGTTTTTTGATCCCATAGACACTTGAGATGTTTGTCATGATCAAGTCATCATCAAGTCATTCGTACTCGGATGTTTGTTCTCTAAATTTGGAACATTGTTATGTTAGCTAGCTAGCATAGCAACGCATGAAACTAAGCTAACAGACATATTCTTAACAAGCCAAATGAAATTTAAAAATGTAAAATGCTTCTCGCCGTATTTGTTCCAAAAGGAGGAGAGGACCTGGAAGGGGGGGCGGGGGGGGGATCTTCTACTTCTAGCTTCTCTAGACCTTCAGAGGTATCTCAGAGAGACGTCACATCTAAATGTGCTTTCCTTTCTTCTCTTCGCCAGGACAAGAGCACATTCCTTCTGGTTTTAGATGCCAAGACCTTTGCAGAGCTGGGCCGAGCCGCCGTGCCCGTCAACATCCCCTACGGCTTCCACGGCACGTTCAGCGCCACGGCGTAAACGTGGGGATCACACGAGAGGAAAGCAGTTATGGACTATGTAAAAATAGTCCGTCTCAAAGTTGTTTGAGGTCACTGCCCAGATATGAATGTATAGATTGAATGAAAAAAAAAATTGTATTCATTTTGTAACTGTTTTGTAAGTAACTTTTGACTTTTGAAACGTTTTTTTAAACATTTATATTAAAAATACATGTTAACGTGAGGGTGGCTGGTATGAGGGGCTGAGGATCAAGAACAGTGCGAGGACGAAAGTAAAAGCTCAGCTGGAGTTCAGCGAATCTTTATCGCGTCCGTGTTTCCCAAGGAGCTGATAAAGTGAGCGCACAGCTCCGGCTCGGTGCCAACATGCACAGCAGAGTGTGTGTGAATACTTTTATTGATTAATGGATCACAAGCGATAATAATGATAATAATGTACATCTTTAAAAGCATGCATGAAATGTTAAATAAAGAAAACTTCCCTCAAACATTCACAGTCTATTTGCATTGATTCATTTCTACTTGTGCTAATGTATTGTACTAATAATTCATATTATATGAATACGTAGAAAAGTAAAAAGTTAGAAAGTAAATAACTAAAACACAAACAAATTCTGACTGTTCCTCAGTGCTAGTTTTGGTCAGTATATTTTTGGGAGGCGGTGGGGTGTCGTTGCTCCCTCTGCTGTCCACTTCTCTAAAAACGGCTTTTTAAACAAATGAAAAAGACCCGAGAAGCTGAATAAAGCGGAGAAGGAGGACGTTAAATAATAAACACGTAGACGTCTGTCTGACACTTTAAATACAACAACATTTTATTTTTAGTCTTCTTTCAGAAGAAAAATGTACACCTTTCACATAAAGAGTCAAAAAGTTTTTCACCAAAACTCATAACAGCTTACGAATATTAGTGTCACTTATTAATCAATATGACTATCACATAAGCAGAACGATAAACAATAAATTATTTTGTTGTTATTCACAAACTGTGTTGCTAGGTAACCGTCCAGGCAGCAGACTCAGCCCTGCAGTTTGTCAGAAATCAGAGCCAGCATCTGCCTCAGGCGCTTCTTCCTCTCCCTCAGATCGGACTCGAGCTTCTGGGCTTCGGTCAGGATGCCGTCCAGCTCCCTCATCTGGTTGGCCTCGTCCGCCGTCCGCTCGCTGCAAGCCACACGCAGAGGCCGATTTGGACACACCTTTATCCCCATTAAACCAGCACCACGTGACTCAATTAACGCAAAAGATGAGAGAAGGGGCGACCAGCTGGCTCCAATGGTGAGTTTGTACTTTTGTGAGATGTTTTTAAATAGCAACGACTAAAATCAGTCGACTGAACGACTGAATGTTTCTCCGTTTCACAGTCGGAGGTCAGCGGACGTCTTCTCTAAGCCATTAACCCAAATCCCAGTTGGCAGGACAACAGAAACGTTCGCTCACCTTTCAGCTCAATAAAAGAGAACTTCTTACTCCTGCGAGGGCATTCTTCCAAGGTTTTTCAGCAAATCGGACAACCTCTAGTAGAGTGTGTGACTATGGATCAAACTTTAGGAAATCCAATCTTGTACCTCAACACTTCAGAAAATGTTGACAGCAGCATCTTGACGTCTTCACTCGCACCTGAAACAGAGCAGAGCAAAAAGAGCAAAGCAAATTTCAATCAAAGGCCAAAAACAATGAACGTGACTGAATGACGATAACTTCTTCCAGTGTTCACGTGAAGGAAGCTTTGATAAGGAAGCATTCGGTGGTGTTCTGTGGCGTGTACCTGCAGCTGTCGCCTCGAATAAACCGGCTGAGTCCAAAGTGGATGATGTCGAGGGAGGCTTCTTCTTCTTTGGTGGAGATTTGGCTTGATTGGTGGGTGTCTGTTCAGTCTATTTAAAAAGTGATTGTAGTTGATTGATTAGGATCTGAATTATTTTAAAAGAAAACTCTACACTATCTGATACCAGCTTCAGAAATGTTTCTCTACTCTTCTATGTCAGTAAAACGACAGAAAACAATCTACAGATTAATCAACAATGAAGACAATTGTTAGTCTAATCCTTTTATGCTTAAATATTAAATTAATTACAGTGACTCTGGCACACTTATTATCAAATAAAATGATAATTGTAAATTGATAGACTTTCTTACCTCTTTGTCTGTTTGTTTAGAGCCTTTATTATTGTTCAACGCCCTCTTGTTTAATATCGGAGGAATCATCTTTTCGGCCATTATTGTGACGTAACGTTTCTGCAAACGTATAATCAAGATATTTTATTATTTATTCGTCAGTTTTATCTGGGTCGCATTTACCTCCACAGACAGCGACAGGAATTATAATTTTGGCTTCTTATGATGCTCAAAATGTAGGATAATATGTGACAGGTGATAATATTCACGTGTAACATTAGTTAAGATAGCAATTAAAATCCTCTGGACTTTTTAAACGTGTGATAGAACGTTATCTAACGTTATATTGGTGCTGTTGAGCTAACTAGTAGCTAATACCTTCATATTAATAACACAGCTAATGTCAAATAGCTACGTTAGCTATGGACGTTAAAAATGTGTCATGTTTGCGGCTTTGCGTACTTGATAAATTGGCATTTGATTTAACGTTAGCTTTATATTCCTAATACATCTAACGTTGGCTAGCTTTGCCTGTAAGCATGTTTCACCTCAAGTTAGCTGTCCGCTAACTTACAATGCTACTGTTTTTGTTTTCAACAGCATAGCTAGCTAGCAACGTTAGCCCCTAGCGACCTGCACTCGGGGTTTCTATAGCAACCGCCGCTAACGTCCACTTACACGGTCCGAGTTGAAGAGTTTAACGTTTCGTAGAATCATTTATCAGATTAACTGTTAACTGTCCGTTATTTCATAGCTGGTGTTTTCAGTCATCGGGTGATTAGCTCATCGATGTGTAACTTTAAATTAGGTCAAAATAACTGCCAGTCTTTTTTTTAAAGCTGCGTTCAAGGCTCCTCGTAAATGTAAACGTCTCTTATTTCGTCAGGTTCATAAGGAGGGTGAAATATATTTACATTGGGAATTGAAAAGATCATGGAAGAGCAATTGAGTATTCTTTTTCAAATCTAAAAGTTTTTACTTTTTTTATTTGTCAACGAGATCTTTTTTACACTTAAATTTGTTAAACAAACATTCTTTAAACATTACCAAGTACCTTCAAACATAATCACAAGTCAAAAGTGAAAAAGTATCATAACAGCTTACACATATAGATTAAATATTTTTCTAATATATATATATATATATATATATATGTATATATATATTTATACAAAAATATTAATATTGGCAAATATTGCCAAGTTTTTTATTTCTCAAGTATCACTATATATTTATATATATATACATATATACACGTCTTTATCGCACATGGCAGAATGTCTCTTTTGAATGAGAATACCGCCGTCGAGGTGCGGATTAAATGGATGGGATTACTCGGAGGGCAGATCCGGGATGAAGCTGCCGAGGTGGCGGCTTTCACTGCGGATCACCGCTGTAGCAAAGTGGATTATGTTTATTAACCCAAAAAGAGGCAATTTATAGGTGAGCTGGCAAAATACGGATACAGAAAACAGACCCGTTTAGTGTCTTCAGACACGTTCAATATTGTGTATTAATGTTGAACCGTGATGATGAATTACAAACAGCGCAACATGTCGTGATGCCCCTGAATGCCACATTAAATCAGAGCTAATTAGAAAAGGATCACAATTTCCCAATAATACTTTATCGAAAGACAATTTAAGGCACCAGAAATCTGTGAACTGCTTTGTTTATCAAATATCGTGACTTTGTTCCCACTGTCACTATTCAGGAGTCCTTCGGACCTCCAACTGAAGGTCCAAGGCCTGCAGTTGAAGATGGAACTTGGTCTGTCCACAGTGGACTGGTCTCTTCTGGAGGACATGGATCTGTCCACAGTGAACTGGTCTCTGCTGGAGGACCTGGGTCTGTCCACAGTGGACTGGTCTCTGCTGGAGGACCTGGGTCTGTCCACAGTGGACTGGTCTCTGGAGTCTGAGCTGAAGGAGGTTCCTCGACCCGGTGGCCCCCATGACGAGCCAGAGAAGAAGAAGAACACCTTTTTCTCTGATGGTGTCGCTCTATAGATGATCAGGACGAATCACTTTGTCGTCACTCGTCACTTTGTTACTTGTTCGTTAGTGCACTTTATGCTTAGTAATTACTTTTTTAATATTTTAAATTTTTAACTCTAACTTTATTCTCTTGTTTTCTACTAACCCATAGCCTTATTCTACTGACCCATCTCATTAGCATTTCATTTGACTTTATTGTATTACTTGTGTACTGTTGTCTTGTTGTCTATTGTTACACTGTCTACAGTCACGCACCAACCGCCAAGACAAATTCCTGGAATGTTTGACATATTTTGGCAATAAATGTTTCCTTATTCCTGATTCCTGATTGAGACTGGTTCATAGAGCGTCAGGAAAACACAGAGACTACAAAATTGATATTATACAAATAATATTTATTATTTTTATCATTATTAGTAATATTATTGGTAAAATACGTGAATTAAATGCTCACGTGTGCCCTTTAAATGTTCGTGCTCTCAGATTCTTGTAATATAAATGTGTTATTAAAACTGAGGGTTGTTAACATTTAATTAATGACTATAAATGAATTATCCGATAATACTCATACATAGAGGTGGCTGATCCCCCACATAAATACGTGATAAAATATTTGATCTTTGATTTTTTGTTGTCGTCGTTGTGTGTTTTTCTCCTGCTCCATTGTCTCGTCGCGCACCGGCGACTCCTTAACTGCCCTTTGTGTGCGTGTCTGTGCGCGTCACCGTGTGCGCGCACGACGACGTCAGGAGTGTTTTTGCTTCGCTCTCTCCGGCATTCCTACGGTCCATGAACGCAGCAGCGGCGGCCCAGCGTCCAGTAGAAGGAGGTCTCCGGTTTTATCTAACCCGGCCGAGCACGCACAAACATGGCGATGATGCAGCGCGCTCTCCCCCGGTCGCTGTGCGTGTGGCTCCTCTGGCTCGCCGGGATTCACGCGTCTTCTAACCTCCACCTGCACGCCGAGCGGCCGCACGGAGGCTTCTTCACCATAGAAGCGATGAGGAGTTTACAGGACGGAGGAGCTGTGTGGAGGTGGTGGTGGCGGAGGCGGAGGCGGAGGCGCCCGCCGCCGCCGAAGCGGCTTCGCTGCCGCCTCCGGCCGCTCCGAGAGCCGCTGCAGGCGGGCCGGACTCCGGCGCTTATCCGCAACATCGAAGCCGCCGGAGCCCCGGAGAGTCGGCCATGCCGAAGGTGTACGGGCAGGTACGTGCAGCGCCGCTTTCTCGCGGAAGGAAATGTGCAAACTGTGTGCATCACCTCGGGCAGCCTCGGCTGCGGAAGGACGCGGTCAAGCGAAGAGTACACGGCGCGACCCTCCGGTGTTTGCGGTGTGCGTCGCATCTTGCAGAACCCGGGACGTCTCCGTGGGGCTTTCGTTGCAACGTGACGACACACCAGACATGCACCGGAATATGTGTCCATTGTGGAGCGAGTCAACGGCGGCCCGCTGTGGCAGTGACCGGCAGTGACTCATCTCAGACGGGATAACGGGGGATTTATTCCCGTAGCACGGAGATTAAATTAATGCCGAAGTCACCGGAACTCCCGTGAGATGTGACAACGGGGTTTGTTTTTGTATCTCGGACGGCCCGTCTGCCGTTAAACACGGAAACCAACACAAACCCGCTTTTCGGAAGGGTTGTTCTGAATGGAAGATGACGAGCACAGAAATGTGCGGCGAGAAACAAACGCTCCAAGTTTTCCTTTTCCGACAGCGTGTTGAAAGTTGACATGACACACGTTTAACGTTAACTTTGTTCACAATCTGTGGCTTCACCTCAAGTTGCTCTCAGCCGAACTTAACTGGAAACGAGGCTTATGCCGGTTGTGGACAGAAGGTCTCACACACCTGGTCTCATCTCCAGTTTAATCAAATATAATAAGTGTTTGTAAACAGGCTGCGTGACGCACGCTGTTTGCTTCTGTGTGTGTGTTGACCTACACAGGTGGAGGAGGGTGGTGCTGTCTTTCGTTACCAACACTTCATCCCGTAGTCCGACTGGTGTCGTTGTCTTTGGGACAATGTGTCCTCATGTTTCACTCGAGGTGGTGTCGTTGTCTTTGGGACAACGTGTCCTCATGTTTGACTCGAGGTGGTGTTGTCTTTGGGACAACGTGTCCTCATGTTTAACTCGAGGTGGTGTTGTCTTTGGGACAATGTGTCCTCATGTTTGACTCGAGGTGGTGTTGTTGTCTTTGGGACAACGTGTCCTCATGTTTCACTCGAGGTGGTGTCGTTGTCTTTGGGACAACGTGTCCTCTTGTTTGACTCGAGGTGGTGTCGTTGTCTTTGGGACAACGTGTCCTCTTGTTTGACTCGAGGTGGTGTCGTTGTCTTTGGGACAACGTGTCCTCATGTTTCACTCGAGGTGGTGTCGTTGTCTTTGGGACAACGTGTCCTCTTGTTTGACTCGAGGTGGTGTCGTTGTCTTTGGGACAACGTGTCCTCTTGTTTGACTCGAGGTGGTGTCGTTGTCATTGGGACAACGTGTCCTCATGTTTCACTCGAGGTGGTGTCGTTGTCATTGGGACAACGTGTCCTCATGTTTCACTCGAGGTGGTGTCGTTGTCTTTGGGACAACGTGTCCTCTTGTTTGACTCGAGGTGGTGTCGTTGTCTTTGGGACAACGTGTCCTCTTGTTTGACTCGAGGTGGTGTCGTTGTCTTTGGGACAACGTGTCCTCATGTTTGACTCGAGGTGGTGTCGTTGTCTTTGGGACAACGTGTCCTCATGTTTAACTCCAGGTGGTGTTGTCTTTGGGACAACGTGTCCTCATGTTTGACTCGAGGTGGTGTCGTTGTCTTTGGGACAACGTGCCCTCATGTTTGACCCGAGGTGGTGTCTCTGGGACAACGTGTCCTCATGTTTGACCCGAGGTGGTGTCTCTGGGACAACGTGTCCTCATGTTTGACAGGCTCTCTGAGGCCTGGTAGCTGCTTGAAGAACCAGCCGACATAAAAGTCAAAAGTCAGAGCGTGTCTTTTATTGTTAGACAATTAGTTTGTTGTTGGACAGGATTTTATTTAAATTAAAACGGGACCAGACTAGTTCCTGTAATAGTCACAAAATGCGATCCATTGGTTTTGTCTACGTGGAAACAAAACTAATGGTTTACACACAAGTCAAATGCAGTCACCATCTTTAATATATAAAATGATCTGTTTGCTGCTGGAGGACCGAGTCAAACAATCAGGACCGTTTTTTCTAAATGACCTGTTTAGTTTCTCAGCCGTACTGAAGAGAATCTGCAGCCGTTTCTTTCTTTCAGCCCGACAGCAAAGTAGAGACGATGTTTGAGGTTAAATTATTCTGCATGAACACGAGGACCATTAGTTGACTATGAACACAACAACCGGTCCCCGGGGGCTCCGATCCGGATCGGGTTTCTAGTTCGTCCCGCGCTCGGCTTGTGGAGGGTTTGTCCCTCGGCTGGTCCTCCCTGTGGCGTCCTCAAGGCGTCATAAGCAAGTTCACACACATAATGAAGGACCACTGAGTCGGTCTGTGGCCATCTGACACGGGGCGAGCTGCGATGATGATGATGATGAAGGGCGAAACCGGCCTTCCCTCATTGTTCCTCGTGCAAACCACAGGGCGCCGTGGACGTAGTCATGGTGACGCCACCCGTCGGCTCGAAGCCACGACGGCGCTGATTTTAATCTATAATTTACTAAAGAGACTGAGACCATAAACTCGTGTTTACAAAGTTTACTGAGGGAACAAATCGATGATTTTAAACTTTATTTACACTGATGTTGACGATCTGTGAGGGATCAACAGCATCTGTTCCTCCTGCAACATGTTTGTTTGTCAGATAACAAGTGGGCGAATGGGGGACATCGCTGGTTGCCGTGGTTACGGCTCCTCCAGCGGCCGTCCAAAGGGCACCGTGGAGCTGCAGCAACACGTGGAATCAAACCGGCAACCGACCAGGCGGCCGCGTTAGGACGGGACGGCACAATAATCCAGTAATGGAGACCAAAGCTATTTGGTCCCGTTTTTAATACAGAAGTGAGACGCTTCAAACCGTTGTTTTGATTGGACTAAGTTTGACGCCTCCGTCCTCCCGAACCCCCCGTGTCACGTCTCGCTGCTCCAGCAGAGACGACCTCCATCTCCCACCAGCACCACCCTCAAACCCCCCCCACGCACACACTCAGGCGGTGCTCGTCTTTACCCTCGACGCTCCAATTTCTTAAAGCCTTCCTTACAATTCTTATCGGAGCTGATTATTGTATATATTTATTGTGGTGCAACAACATTTGAGACCGTTTGGTCTCCGTAAAAGCTCTTTGAGTCGTACTCTCACCTGACGGGGGGGGGGTAGAAGGGGGGAGGGGGGGTGTGTAAGAAAAACAGGCCGGCCACTGATGTGCACATGCTAGCGTGAGCACGCAGCCCTCGTCGCCTGCCAGGCCTGCAGAGATGATGTCACTGTTTGAGGCTCGGCTGAATAATGGAGCGCTCAGAGCTGAGGAGGGTGCAGCGCCCTCCCCCCTCCTCCCCCCCCCCTCCCTCCCCCGAGAGAGTGTATTGTTGTGTTGCCTGTTTCGGCTCCTCGCTGGTACCAGACACAGAGCGCAACTCCTCCAGGAGGCCGTCAGAGTGGAGGAGGAAGACGAGGAGGAGGAGGAGGAGGAGGAGGAGGTGGTGGAGGAGGAGGAGGAGGAGGAATGCAGCAGATAGTGTTGAAGTGGTTTCTGTATCGGCTGCAGAAATAAAGCTGACTCGAATCTAAAGATGGTGCTGATGCAGACGTCTGCTTTTTGACTGATCTGTTTCAGGGTTCCTTGTTCCCGGAGGACTCTGTGGGACTGTAACGGGTGGAGTTGTCTCACTTTATTGGGCGGTGTTTCTCTCACTGTAGATTAGCTGCTTGTGAGTGAAGCAAGTACCGACAAATGCTCTTATTGGTTCTTCCTGGTCACGTGACGCGCAGACGCCCCAACGTTAATCCACAATGGATCTGAGACACATCGCAGGCCAGCTGTTAGACCACGAGAGCTTCTTCTGGATCGACTTTTATTGACGTTGTGTACGTCTCTTTTAGAGACCTGTCCATCAGCGAGTAGCCCCGCCCTAAAGTATCTCCTGCTTCATGGTCTGTCGCCCCCTGGTGGTCAGCAGAGAGAATGCAGCTTCATCCCCGTCACCCGTTCTCATTGAGGGCTCCGCTTGGGAGAACTCCCAAATGAGTAATGAGGACCCACCGAGCTCCTCCTCCAGTGGAGCGGAGATGTTCATCATCTAGTTCATCCGGCTCAAGTTTCTCTTCGCTCGGTAATCCTCAGACGAGCGCCTGGTCGGGATGACCAACGCCGCCTCCGCCGCCTTTTGTGGATGCTCAGCCCTCCACGCCGAGACCGCCTCGCTCGCCTCGCTCGCCTACTCGGGTCCCGACTCCGGTGAAAGAGTCACATTATTTCATAAAGTTTGTGTGTTTCCTTCTTTCTTATTTAATAAATGTGGCCTGCACGTTCATACCGACTTCTTTTCTGATTCTCGGTGGATTAATACTTTTTAATTAATGTGAGGTATAATTACCAAAGGAAACACGTTATTCATTCTAATTAAAAGTGGTGAGACAGAAACTTGTGGATAAAAATCCTAACAAGAATTTACTCAATGAACTGAACACAGACCGGAAAGATCGAATGATCGTTGCCAGGAGCAGGTCCAATGAGGATGTGGGTCTGTCCACGGTGGACTGTCTCTGCTGGAGGACCTGGGTCTGTCCACGGTGGACTGTCTCTGCTGGAGGATCTGGGTCTGTCCACGCTGGACTGGTCTCTGGTCTGTCCATGGTGGACTGTCTCTGCTGGAGGATCTGGGTCTGTCCACGGTGGACTGGTCTCTGGTCTGTCCACACTGGACTGGTCTCTGGTCTGTCCACGCTGGACTGGTCTGAGAGACGTCAGCGACATCTTGAAAACAATCTGACCGTCTGTGGAAGAAATGCCGGCCTGCGCCGACCTTTGGCCGACCTTTGGCCGACCCTGTGCTTGGTCCCGCAGGTCAACCTGAACGACTCCCACAACCAGATGGTGGTCCACTGGGCCGGGAAGAAGAGCGACGTCATCGTGGCGCTGGCCAGGGACAGCGCGGGGGCCATCGGACCCAAGACCAGCTCGGTGAGTCCGCCTCCGTCGGCCTTTACACCACCTCTGCTGACTCCTAGTCACTGTTGTGCTTCAGTTACTGAGCAGCTGTGTGTGTGTGTGTGTGTGTTCACACTCGTCAAACAATGTTTCTAGTGATGGAACGATTGTTGAGCAACAGATTAAACTCTCCATCTGCTACACACACACACACAGAGACACACACACACACACACAGAAACACATCCTGCTTTGCCAGAATCTCCTTGAAGTAATTAAATGATAAAATGAAGCATTGCACAGTATCAATAGTTGCTTTATTCTAAAATCTTCATTTGTCCCCGTAGCTGGTGACCTCTTGATGTTGCCCCCCCCCCCCCCTCTTCTCCCCCAGGTCTACGTTTCCTACGACTACGGCACCACCTTCGCTCTGGTTTCTGACAGGTTCCGTCTGTCGGGGGTGAAGGCCGAGGGCGGCAACCAGCAGGTCATCTCCCAGTTCTACCACAGCCCCGCCGACAACAAGAGGGTGAGTCCCCGTGGGGGGGGGGCATCACATGACTTCGTCCCCCCCGGAGTCGGATGAATATGAATGAAGATGAAAGTGTTTACTTTCACTGCTAACAGCTGTGATGAAGAAGAGGGGCCATTGTTTGAGAGGAGGGTTTGTTTCTGTGTTTACTGAGAGGAAGCTAACGGCCGTAGTTCCTCTAGCGCAGAGACGAGACCGTGGTATTAAAGTTCTGATCCGACTCGAGCAACGAAGGAAGAAGATGAACTTTGCTTTAAATGAATACAGCGGATGAACTGGTTCCATGACCAGAGGGGAATGTTCAGTGTAACGTTAAATCTACAGCACGTATTTCATTTAAAGTTATGCCCTAAATAAACTATTTACTTTAAAAAGATTCTGTGAGAAACATAAAATTCTGAGCTCCTCAGTGCAACCAGGAAGCCAAGATGGACCCACCTGAGACCAACAGTCATGTGACCATAAGAGAGTTTAGCTCAGAGGCTCCTTTCCCCCCCGTTCTTCAGTACCTGTTTGTGGACTCCACCAACGACTACCTGTGGAGCACCTTTGACTTCTGCGGGGCGGTGAGGGGCTTCTCGCTGCCCTTCAAGCCCACCGACCTGCTCCTGCACAGCCGGAGGGCCGGCCTGGTGCTCGGCTACGACGGATCTCACCCCAACAAGCAGGTAACCAATAATCCATAAAATCACCCATTGATCCGCTCCAGGTCTCCGGTCGCCTCCTGGAGACACGAGTAATGCTCATGTTCTTGTCTCCATCATCTTCATTTCTTAGAATGTTCATCTGTAGTGATGAGAGAGGCCCTGTCTGTCTGTCTGTCTGTCTGTCTGTCTCCCTGTCTCCCTGTCTGTCTGTCTCCCTGTCTCCCTGTCTGTCTGTCTGTCTGTCTGTCTGTCTCCCTGTCTCCCTGTCTGTCTGTCTCCCTGTCTCCCTGTCTGTCTGTCTCCCTGTCTCTCAGCATCGATCTTCACTACTGATTCCTTCTCTCTTGTTACTGGAGTGAACACTGTTTGTATTCTGAGCTCACGATGAGGCCAAAAAGAACCGATCCGTGTGTAGCTTAACCCCCCCAATCTGTCCTCCTGCCCCCTCCTGTAGCTGTGGAAGTCCGATGACTTCGGAGAGACCTGGGTGTTGATCCAAGAGCACGTCAAGACCTACTTCTGGTAAGACCACACAGATGTGTGGGACGTGTGTCCCCTGCGGGACGTGTTGTCCCGTGTAGGCCCGTCGCAATATGCGATAAGATGACGCATCGCACGCTCTCTGAAACCGCGTGCAATCATTTCTGGTGCTGCGATATTCACTTTACATATAAATGAACGTCACTGACATTTAAGTTGATCCTCTGTCCCTTTTTCCTGTGGAAAGGGGGGCGGGGCTTAGGCAGCGCACACAGAGCGACACCGACAGGTGAAGAGAAGCAGTGAACACCACTAAGCTAACAAAGCTAACGAAGCTAACATCTCGCCCAAAACAACAACCATCCGCCCGTCTTTAACCTGAACTACTGTCGGTCCCTCCGGACTGCTCCTTCGTCTCTTTGGGCGGGAGGACCGCCGTCCCGCCGTCTAACGGGGGGCCGGCGGGCGAAGCCCCGCATCACATGACATCACATCACATCACAGGTCATTTAGCTGACGCCTTTATCCAAAGCGACTTACGTTTTTAACTCATGGCATTTTACATGTTTTTGCCCGGGGAGCAATTAGGGGTCAGGTGTCTTGCTCAGGGACACTTCGACATGGGACATGAAGCAGCCGGGACTTGAACCACCAACCTTGCGGTTCCCAGCACACCTGCTCTACGTCTTTTGTTGGCTAATGTTTTACTTTCTGTATTTGCGTAGGCGGCTTGTTTGCGTTTCCCTCTGCGGCCTCTCATGTGTGTCTGATGCGTATTTCATGATGGCGTTAATGAAGGATCCAACATGCGACTGACTAGAGGAGCTGAATGTGAGCTGAAGGGGAGCGGAGCTCCGCTGGGTGATGTTAGGGGGTAGGAGGTAGGGGTTAGGTGTAAGGTGTTAGGGGTTAGTAGTTAGGGATTAGGAGTTAGGGGTTGGGTTAGGGGGTTAGGAGGTAGGGGTTAGGTGTTCGGAGTTAGGGGTTAGAGGGTAGGGCTTAGGAGTTAGGGAGTAGGAGTTAGGGAGTAGGAGTTAGGGAGTAGGAGTTAGGGAGTAGGAGTTAGAGGGTACGTGGTAGGAGTTATGAGTTATGAGTTAGGGGATAGGGGTTAGGAGTTAGGAGTTAGAGGGTAGGGGTTATGAGTTAGAGGTTAGGGGGTTGGGGGGTTAGGAGTTAGGGGTTAGAGGGTAGGGGTTAGGAGTTAGGGGGGAGGAGTTAGGGGGTTAGGGGTTAGGAGTTAGAGGGTAGGGGTTAGGAGTTAGAGGGTAGGGGTTAGGGGTTAGAGGTTAGGGGTTAGGGGGTTAGGGGGTTAGGAGTTAGAGGGTAGGGGTTATGAGTTAGAGGTTAGGGGTTAGGGGGTTAGGGGGTTAGGAGTTAGGGGTTAGGGGGTTAGGAGTTAGGAGTTAGTTAGTTAGTACAATGTTTGTCGTTCACTCATCGGTTCACTGTAAGGCAGATTAAACGTGACGATGGACGTCATCAGGTCGGTGGAGGTCCAGTTCACCCTTTGACAGGAGGAGGGAGGTGACTCTTCATCAGCACGTAGCTTAGACGCCATCTTGGTTTGTCCAGGTGTTGGATGAATGTTCACTGGTTTTACTTACAGAAGAGCAAAAAAGAAAAACTACTTACTGCTACTACTACTACTTACTTAAGTTCCGTACTTTGCGGAACTTTTTGTTCCGCAAAGTACGATACCATCAATGTCGACCGTGACACTTCCTCGCAGAATGAACGAAGCACAAAAACTAAAAACGCACTTTCAGACGCGGCGTCGTAGAGAAAACGTGTTCAATCTAGCGGAAGCCGGTGTGACGGCTCTGGTTGGTGGAGGAGTTGGTCAGCGACACCCAGCAAACAGAGGGGCCTTAAACGCATCACGAGGGACGGGGGGGTCAGCAGAAGTGACCCCACTGGAGAAGAAAGGAAAGGAAACAACCTTTTTTGCCACGTTTAGGTGTTTTTCACTGCAAACCCTCAAACTTGCGTAAAATGTTTCTCTAATAATTATAATAATAATAATAACAATCACAGTCCACTGCTGGTTAGTGGCCTTTAAAACAAGGATGATAATATAATAAATGAATAAGACATTTTCTACCCTGAAGTGAATCGTCTGTTCCTTAAACTCTCGCTGGCACTTCCTCGTTTGTTGCCTAAAGAGGAAGTGCTCAGAAGGGGGCGGGACGGATGGACAGGAAGTCCTCTGTGCGGATGGACAGGAAGTCCTCTGTACGGATGGACAGGAAGTCCTCTGTGCGGATGGACAGGAAGTCCTCTGTACGCATCGGCCCACTGAATTCTGTTCATGGAACTTAAAACTGAAAATACTCAGTTTGGGAAAAGACGATTGGTGCCGTCATCGGTCTGCTCACTGGTCCTCCCCCTCCCCCCCCCACAGGGGCGTGGAGCCCTACGACCCCCCCACCACGGTCCTGGTCCAGAGACACGAGCCGCAGGGCGTCTCCACCGTCCTCAGCAGCACCGACTTCTTCCAGAGCGACCAGAACCGCACCGTCATCCTGGAGCAGGTGGACAGCTTCCAGCTCCGAGACAAGTACCTGTTCGCCACCAGCACGCAGGTGAGGGGGGGGGGGGCGACAAGGAAAGGATGCAGAGGCAGTGAACACAAGACTGAAAGGAAGAGGCTCTGCTGGAGGCCCAACAGATCCTTCTGAGGGTCACAGGGACACACACTAACCCCCCCCCCACCCCCTGACCCCCCATCTCTCTCCAGAAGCTGTTTGGAAGCCACCAGCCGGCGTCCGTCCAGCTCTGGGTCTCCTACAACCGGCAGCCAATGAAAGCCGCCCACTTCATGACCCGGCATCCAATCACAGTGAGTCTCTCTCCGAGCTACGAGACGGACCAATGAGACGCTTGAATTCAAGTCGTCTGTTAAAAGAATAAAAACAACTGAACGGCCTACTGCTCCCAGAATGCACCTCTGTGTGGACTGAAGGTGACCGTGCCCCCCCCCCCCCCCCTACAGGAGTACTACATCGCGGACGCGTCGGAGGAGCAGGTGTTTGTGTGTGTGAACCACCTGAACAACGTCACACACCTGTACACCTCCGACACGCAGGGCCTCTCCTTCTCGCTGTCGCTGGAGAACGTCCTGTACTTCAGCCCGGGGGGGTCAGGCAGCCACACACTCATCAGGTACACACACACACACACACACTGACACACACACATAGACTTTCATGTCTATTTGTTATTTTCATTTAATACCAAACAAACAGAACTGATGTAACGTGAGACTCTTCACGTCCACGCAGGATCAATAACGCCGCTTCTTTCTCTACGAATCGAGCTCGTCGGTGGCCGAGTAGTTGCCGTAGCAACCTCGGGGTCAGACAGGAAGACGTCGCTGTCCTTTATCTGATGAAGGAGAATTGATCAGATGACCTCTGACCTTTGATTTACTGCTCACTCTCACATGTTTTTCTGCCACGTTTTGGCTGCGAAAGGAAACACAGAATAAAACATTGGTGCAGGAAGGAATTTCTTGAGCTGGAGTTTGATGATTAAAAACAGAATAAAATATATATATATATAATATATATATATATATTATAATCTTAAAGGAATAATGGAACTCTAGTGGAAAACAACATATTTAAATATATGATTATATAAGAAGTAATGCAAACACTAGTGTAAGTAATACCGAGCTTATTGAGAAGGAACATGAAATTGAAATATTGTTGTTGCCTGATGTTTGACGTTGCCGCGGCAACGCGTCCCCTCCTGACTCCAGGTACTTTGCCAACGAGCCCTTTGCCGACCTGCACCGCGTGGACGGGCTGCGGGGCGTCTTCATCGCCACGCTCATCAACGGCTCCGTCAGCGAGGACAACATGCGCTCCGTCATCACCTTCGACAAGGGGGGGACGTGGGAGCTGCTCCAGCCGCCGGCCGCCGACAGCCTGGGGGGCACCGTGGACTGCCAGGTACGCCGAGAGAAACCGCAGTGACCACCGGGGGGTGGGGGGGCGACTCGCCTCCGGTCCCATCGGCGTCTATGGGGAAATGACTGCTCTGTTAAATCGTGTGCCCCCCCCTCTCCCCTCCAGCTGGGCAAAGGTTGCTCCCTCCACCTGGCCCAGCGCTGGAGCCAGCTGTTCAACATCCAGCTGAGGAGGATGCCCATCCTGTCCAAGGACTCGGCACCAGGACTCATCATGGCCACCGGTGGGACGACGGGACTCTGTGGTTGCTATGATACGGGGGAGGAAACGTAGTACGCAGGGGGAGGGAGCGGGTGAAGGGGGAGGGGGAGACAGACAATCTCTTCCTTATTGCTCTCAAGCGGCTGAGCTAATTACTGCAATGACCCGTCAATGGGCCACACGCACACGCATGTTTACACACACGTGTTTTTCCTTCTAACCTTGTTAGCTTCAAAGCGAAGGTGACAGACATCATGATTGTGTGTGTGTGTGTCTGTGTGTGTCTGTGACGCGTCTGTCGTCCTCTTTGTTTCAGGGTCTGTCGGCAGAAACTTGGCCAACAAGCCCAACGTGTACGTGTCGAGCAGCGCCGGAGCGCGCTGGAGGGAGGTCGGTACCGGCGGACTCGCCTCACGACTTCTTCTAACGTGTCTCTGCGTACACGAAGCAAACTAAACAATCGGTTTCAGATTCATTAACCTGTTTCACTTCTGCTTAACGATACAAGACGCCATTGACCGCTGCCTCGACGTCTCGAGCGTTGAGTTTGGATTCACCGCACAAACAAACAAACAGCGTTGTGTGTATTTACTGTGATAGACGCGTGTTTTCTGTCCTCAGGCGCTGGCAGGCCCTCACTTCTACACATGGGGCGACCACGGGGGCGTCCTGATGGCCATCGCACAAGGAGGCGCCACCACGCACCTCAAGTGAGTCCAAGTGTCCTCTCGAAGCTGGTTGTGTGACTGGGCGAGTGAAGCTGGTGTGTGACTGGGTGGCTGAAGCTGGTGTGTGACTGGGTGGCTGAAGCTGGTGTGTGAAGCTGGTGTGTGACTGGTCGAGTGAAGCTGGTGTGTGACTGGGCGAGTGAAGCTGGTGTGTGACTGGGCGAGTGAAGCTGGTGTGTGACTGGGCGAGTGAAGCTGGTGTGTGACTGGGTGGCTGAAGCTGGTGTGTGAAGCTGGTGTGTGACTGGGTGGCTGAAGCTGGTGTGTGAAGCTGGTGTGTGACTGGGCGAGTGAAGCTGGTGTGTGACTGGGCGAGTGAAGCGGGTGTGTGACTGGGTGAGTGAAGCTGGTGTGTGACTGGGTGAGTGAAGCTGGTGAGTGAAGCTGGTGTGTGACTGGGTGAGTGAAGCTGGTGTGTGACTTGGGTGAGTGAAGCTGGTGAGTGAAGCTGGTGTGTGACTGGGTGAGTGAAGCTGGTGAGTGAAGCTGGTGTGTGACTGGGCGAGTGAAGCGGGTGGTGTGACTGGGCGAGTGAAGCGGGCGAGTGAAGCGGGGCGTGTGAAGCGGGTGTGTGAAGCGGGTGTGTGAAGCTGGTGTGTGAAGCTGGTGTGTGACTGGGCGAGTGAAGCGGGTGTGTGACTGGGCGAGTGAAGCGGGTGTGTGACTGGGTGAGTGAAGCGGGTGAGTGAAGCGGGTGTGTGAAGCGGGTGTGTGAAGCTGGTGTGTGACTGGGCGAGTGAAGCGGGTGAGTGAAGCTGGTGTGTGACTGGGCGAGTGAAGCGGGTGAGTGAAGCTGGTGTGTGACTGGGCGGCTGAAGCTGGTGTGTGACTGGGCGAGTGAAGCTGGTGTGTGACTGGGCGAGTGAAGCTGGTGTGTGACTGGGCGAGTGAAGCTGGTGTGTGACTGGGCGAGTGAAGCTGGTGTGTGACTGGGCGAGTGAAGCTGGTGTGTGACTGGGCGAGTGAAGCTGGTGTGTGACTGGGCGAGTGAAGCGGGTGTGTGACTGGGCGAGTGAAGCTGGTGTGTGACTGGGTGAGTGAAGCTGGTGTGTGACTGGGTGAGTGAAGCTGGTGAGTGAAGCTGGTGTGTGACTGGGTGAGTGAAGCTGGTGTGTGACTGGGTGAGTGAAGCTGGTGAGTGAAGCTGGTGTGTGACTGGGTGAGTGAAGCTGGTGAGTGAAGCTGGTGTGTGACTGGGCGAGTGAAGCGGGTGTGTGACTGGGCGAGTGAAGCGGGTGTGTGAAGCGGGTGTGTGAAGCTGGTGAGTGAAGCTGGTGTGTGACTGGGCGAGTGAAGCGGGTGTGTGACTGGGCGAGTGAAGCGGGTGTGTGACTGGGCGAGTGAAGCGGGTGAGTGAAGCGGGTGTGTGAAGCGGGTGTGTGAAGCTGGTGTGTGACTGGGCGAGTGAAGCGGGTGAGTGAAGCTGGTGTGTGACTGGGCGAGTGAAGCGGGTGAGTGAAGCTGGTGTGTGACTGGGCGGCTGAAGCTGGTGTGTGACTGGGTGGCTGAAGCTGGTGTGTGACTGGGCGAGTGAAGCTGGTGTGTGACTGGGCGAGTGAAGCTGGTGTGTGACTGGGTGAGTGAAGCTGGTGTGTGAAGCTGGTGTGTGACTGGGTGAGTGAAGCTGGTGTGTGACTGGGTGAGTGAAGCTGGTGTGTGACTGGGTGAGTGAAGCTGGTGTGTGACTGGGTGAGTGAAGCTGGTGTGTGACTGGGTGAGTGAAGCTGGTGTGTGACTGGGTGAGTGAAGCTGGTGTGTGAAGCTGGTGTGTGACTGGTTATACAGCTTATTGCAGAGGGAAAAGACAAATAAACCCTCCCTCAGTAAACAGAGGTAATCAAACATTCGCTCCTCATGTGCTGGTGACAAAGTTAGTTAGTTCCCATATTCTTGTTAATCATTCACTGGTTGTGTCCATAATTAAAGTGACAGGTATGTTCCCTTACAACCTCATGTGTATCGTTGATGTATTAATGTTGTTTGATCAAAGAATATGAGGACAAGCTGCAGATTAAAAGAAACAATACAATATTATTTTAAACTCCTACCTGGTGAACGGGCTGAAAAATCATCAACCCAAAACTCTCCGACGGGGGGGGGAGGGGCATTTTTTCTTGTAGCCCGAAGCTTTACACACGGTCGTAATTGTTATATTTTGATCTATCTGACGGTCCTTGAACACATCACAAGTGAACATCAGAAACTTCAAATTGTGATATATGATAACATTTTATTCCACTTGTCTTATTATGTTTGAACAGTTTAGTGTTTACGGATCATCAGGTAAAGACTCAACATTAACAACACTTCTGGACACGACGATTCCATCAGGACCTTTATTTTGAAATTCTAGTCATCGTGGTTGATTTTCCATAGAGGAGCAGGGCTTTTGTTTTGAAGGGGGAGGGTTTCTGAACGCTCAAGCGCTGTCGCCGTCAGGTTCAGCACCAACGAGGGCGAGACGTGGTTCGACTTCCGCTTCTCGGACCGGGCCGTCTACGTGTACCAGCTGCTCACCGAGCCCGGGGAGAAGAGCACCATCTTCACCATCTTCGGCTCCTACGCGGACCAGCGGCACGGCTGGCTCATCCTGCAGGTCAACACCTCCGACGTCCTGGGTACGTTCCTCTTCGCACGCAGCGGCCAATCACGGCGCTCTACCTGACACGGGGGCGTGTTTTAGAAGAATAGGCCCAAGATGGCTCACGCTAGGTAGCCACTTAGCTAGCTGAAGCTACAGAGAAATGACGTCCGATGGAGGAGATGAGGAGGTCTCCGGCCCCTCCTCACGGTGACTCCTCCTCTTCTTCTTTGGTGTCCCAGGCGTGCCGTGCTCCGACGCCGACTACAAGCGCTGGTCTCCGTCGGACGAGCACGGCAACGAGTGCCTGCTGGGCCGAGAGGTGACCTTCAAGAGGAGGGCGCCGCACGCCACCTGCTTCAACGGCGAGGACTTCGACCGGCCCGTCAGCGTGGCCAACTGCTCCTGCACGCGGCAGGACTACGAATGGTGGGCGGGGCCTCAGGGTGCTCGTGGCCGACTCATTCCGGGCGCTGTGTGTGTGTAACGCTGTGTTATAAGAAACCTCCTCCTCCGTCCTCCTCCACCCAGTGACTACGGCTTCAAGCCCAGTGAGGACTTGTCCCTGCAGGTGTGTGTCCCTGACCCCGAGTTCTCAGGCGACCTCTACGCTCCGCCGGTGCCGTGTCCCGTCGGCACCACCTACCGGCGCAGCAAAGGGTGAGCCGCTTCCCACAATGCTTAGCGTGGTTTGTTTGCCTGACGTGTGCTGCAGTAGAGAACGCCACGTGGACTCGTCTTCTTCGACCAAACCGTCAACGCGACCGCGTGTGTTAAAATGAAATCACCGCCTCTTCCTCCTGTTCCACTTCTTCTGCCTCCTCCACCTTTCCCCTCACTGGTGCGATGGCCTCCGATGGAGTTCCGTATCTATTATACAGTATTTTAATACCGGTGTTCCTGCTTCAGCTACAGGAGGGTTCCAGGAGACAGCTGCAGTGGAGGAGACGTGGCGTCCAGGCTGGATGGAGAGATGCTGCCTTGCCCCGTGGGAGGTACGAACCCGTCTCCCTCCAGAACACAACACATTTCATTCTTCATGACCTGATTAAAAGTTCTAAAAGAGAAACCGACTGAATAAATAAATATAACGTGTGATATTTATATTAAATTGTTTTCCTATTTTCGGAACTAGTTTCAACGTGTTTGAGTTCTTTCCCTCCCGCCACGACGCTTTTATTTTGTAGGGGAATGTAAGGCCACGTGTGATGGCGTTTTGTCGTGTCTCCTGTGCTCAGAGAGCAACGAGTTCATCCTGTACGCCGTGAGGAACTCCATCCATCGCTACGACCTGGCCACCGGCGCCGACCAGGCGCTGCCCCTGGCCGGCCTCCGGGAGGCCGTGGCGCTGGACTTCGACTACGACAGGAACTGCCTCTACTGGGCCGACATCTCGCTGGACACCATACAGGTTGGCGGCGGCGGGGGGGGCTCTTTGTGTTGCACACCGGAGGGTCGACTTGCGGGCGAGAAGCCACGACGAACAGCGCTCCTCCGTGTGACCTCTGACCCTCTGTCCTTCAGCGTCTGTGTCTGAACGGCAGCACGGGTCAGGAGGTCGTGGTGAGGAAAGACCTGCAGAACGTGGAGGCCCTGACCTTTGACCCCATCAGCAGGCTGCTCTACTGGGTCGACGCCGGGGCGCAGAAGATCGAGGTACGGATAAAAAGTCAGATCCAGCCTTTGAATCGTTTCAAATAATCAATACTCAGAAATCGTAGGTCAACATTAAATGAAGTCTCACGCAATCATGTGATCTGCCATCGTGTCTGAAGGTGTCGAACCCGGATGGCGACATGAGGCACACGCTGCTCAACTCGTCCATCCTGGAACATCCAAGAGCTCTGGTCCTGCTGCCGGGAGAGAGGTCACACACACACACACACACACACACACACACACTTCAGAGACTCAGTTATGTGTCATTTATTTATAAAAACATGCAGATTTAAATTTTTTATAAAGTGATGAAAATTGGCACACATGTTTTTTTATTATATTTTGAAAAAGAACGTCTGGTTCAAAAAGTATTAAATATATTTATATTTTTAATTTCAAGTACATATTTTAACTTTTTTTCTCTATATATTACATTTTGTCTAAACCTTCCCCCCCGCATTTTTCAAAATAACATTTTGATTTTTTTTTCAAATATTTTAAAACTTTTCCTCCATGACTTAAGTTGCTTTGTATTTTTCAAAACATTTTCATATTCCTTTACATTTTTGACTTAATGTTTTTTGTTTTTTTTCATGACACAAACATATTTTAACGTGATGAACCCGGAGACACACCTGTCCCAAAGGAAAAACACATTTTTCGACCTAATATGTTGCAATAAGTGAACACTTTGAAACAATAAGTGAAACCGGTCCCGCCCTTCTCACCCCGCAGCCTGATGTTCTGGACGGACTGGGGCGACCGGGCCGCCGGCGTGTACCGGAGCTACATGGACGGCACCAATGCGTCCTGCGTGGTGTCGGAGGGGGTCCGCTGGCCCAACGGCATCGCGGCAGACGAGCGCTGGCTGTACTGGACCGAGGCCTACAGCGACCGCATCGAGAGGGCCGACTTCACGGGGGGGGCCCGCAGCGTCCTGGTGGAGGGGCTGCCCCACCCCTACGCCATCGCCGTCTTCAAGGTCAGGGGACCCCTCTGGGACCCTGCTCTCCGGCCGGGATAATCGGGAAGGGGGGGCTCTTGGTTAAAACTGTTTTGTTTTTTTGTTGTTTTTATTAGAACGACCTCTACTGGGACGACTGGTCCAGGATGGGAATCTTCAAGGCCCCGAAGGCCGGTTCCCAGAGCAACGAGCTGATCGTGGGCCGACTGACCGGAGTCATGGACCTCAAGATCTTCTACAAGGGGAAGAACCGAGGTGAGACTGCTCCTTGAGTTAAAGCTGCATTCTCTGTAGTGACCAGCAGGGGGCGACTCCTCTGCTCCCATAGACGTCTATGAGGAAATGACTCTACTTCTCTGTAGTGACCAGCAGGGGGCGACTCCTCTGCTCCCATAGACGTCTATGAGGAAATTACTCTACTTCTCTGTAGTGACCAGCAGGGGGCGACTCCTCTGCTCCCATAGACGTCTATGAGGAAATGACTCTACTTCTCTGTAGTGACCAGCAGGGGGCGACTCCTCTGCTCCCATAGACGTCTATGAGGAAATGACTCTACTTCTCTGTAGTGACCAGCAGGGGGCGACTCCTCTGCTCCCATAGACGTCTATGAGGAAATGACTCTACTTCTCTGTAGTGACCAGCAGGGGGCGACTCCTCTGCTCCCATAGACGTCTATGAGGAAATGACTCTACTTCTCTGTAGTGACCAGCAGGGGGCGACTCCTCTGCTCCCATAGACGTCTATGAGGAAATGACTCTACTTCTCTGTAGTGACCAGCAGGGGGCGACTCCTCTGCTCCCATAGACGTCTATGAGGAAATGACTCTACTTCTCTGTAGTGACCAGCAGGGGGCGACTCCTCTGCTCCCATAGACGTCTATGAGGAAATGACTCTACTTCTCTGTAGTGACCAGCAGGGGGCGACTCCTCTGCTCCCATAGACGTCTATGAGGAAATGACTCTACTTCTCTCTTGATTCAAACGTTACGTTGACTGCAGAGCAGTTATGAGATACTGAGTAAGATGAGAAAGGTCAGATAGCGAAAGCTCAAACAAACAGGGATAAAAATCAGGAAATCAATAAATGGTTGAGAATTTCTCTTTTTCGGCATTTGGGTTTCAGTTTCAAAATAAAATAATAGTTTTATTTCTACAGTTGTGGTTAAAAATAACAAATGCAATGCATCAATTTTGCTTTTCAAAGGAGTAAATGACGTATTGTTTTTAATATTTCCTTTACTTATTGATAAGAACACAGTACACGCAGTATATTGAACCGTGAAGGACAGCTGGATGAATCTTGAATCGCATTGAGGCTCACAGAAAAGCAACCCCGCCCCCCCACCGGTGTGTCTGAGCTGAGGTTCTGAGGTTCTTGCCCCCCCAGGACACAACGCCTGCGCCGACCAGCCGTGCAGTCTGCTGTGTCTGCCTCAGCCGGGTCACCGGCACACCTGCGTCTGCCCGGACGGCGCCCCAACCGTGGCCACGCCCACCGGGGAGCTGCAGTGCCTGTGCCCCCCCGGGTACCTGCTGCAGAACGGCACCTGCGTGAAGACCGGTGAGTCTTTTACTGATATTACATCACAAATAAAAATAACAAAGGTGATATGAAGCTAATATTATATTATATTGAGTGTCACATGTGACCCTTTGTCCAATCAGAGCACAGCTGTCTGCCCAACCAGTACCGCTGCTCCAACGGCCGCTGCATCAGCAGCATCTGGAAGTGCGACAGCGACAACGACTGCGGAGACATGAGCGACGAGCAGGAGTGTCGTAAGTGGCCTCGCCTCTCTTCTACGTCACCAACGGGGGTGGGGGAGGGCTGGGGGCGCGTTGACGTTAACACCTCTACCGTACACTCATCCCCACAGCCACCACCACCTGCGACCCGTCCAACCAGTTCCGCTGCGTGGTCTCGGGCTCGTGCATCCCGCTCGCCTTCAAGTGCGACCACGAGGACGACTGCGGGGACAACAGCGACGAGGAGCGCTGCGGTGAGGCCTCTCGTTTTGTGCAATAAAACGAAAAGGAAATTGTACATTATGTTAATATGGTTAAATATAGAAGTGGTTTGACAACAAGTTCCTTCACGGTTTTGTTTTCCCGATTATAAAAACGCGTGATTTTCTTTTTTTCGCCTAAATCTTTGATTCATTTTTCTCTTGTATTTGTTGTTGTAATATTCACCTCGTCCACAAGAGGCTGCTGTGCACCATTAAATAGTTTAAACATAAAACCGTTCCAAGTGAGAAATGACACAAAAAGATGTTTCTTCAGTGGTCCCGTTATTAAGAGCCATTTAAAAACGTCCTCAGAGTCCCACCAGTGCGGCCCGGGAGAGTTCACGTGTGCACGCGGCGTTTGCATCCGCGAGGCGTGGCGCTGCGACGGAGACAACGACTGCAGGGATTGGTCGGACGAGGCCAACTGCACAGGTGGGGAAGCACGTTGTTTTCTCACACAAACGTCGCCGGCGTCTTCCGCGTCTCCGAGCCTTCGTCTCTGCCCGTTTGTCCCCCAGTGGGACGCCATACGTGTGAGGCCAGCAGCTTCCAGTGCCACACGGGCCACTGCATCCCGCAGCGCTGGATGTGCGACGGAGACGACGACTGTCAAGACGACTCGGACGAAGACCCGCGGTACTGCGGTGAGTTCAGGGACACGCGTCATGTTTGGTCCAGTCACGATTGGACCGGAGCGTAAACAAGCTGTTTACCTGCAGAGGGAACGCGATGTAACGGCTTCCTCTGCTCCAATCACACCTGCCTGCCGGCCACCGCGCACTGCAACGGCATGCGGGAGTGTCCAGACGGCGCCGACGAGAACAACTGTGGTGAGGGACTCGATCTGTGTGTTATTATCATTATCATCATTATCATTGGTGGTGAAAGAGCTTTTATTTATAGATACTTTTCTTTAAGTGACAAAAGAAAATAAAAATACATGAACATGTTCTTTGTTAATGTAATATTGTCCAAGTGTATCTGTATTTAAATTAATAATACTAATTAGAGTATCTGCCGCATGTCGACTCCTACTTGCTTTGTAAGTGGGAAAACCTGCAAAATCCACCGTGTCAAATACTTGTGTTTGTATGTCATATGAACGAGTGCATGCTTCTTTAGTACATGTGAAACACCACTTTGGTCCACAGACCCGCTGTGCACCCGCTACATGGAGTTTGTGTGCAAGAACCGAGCGCAGTGTCTGTTCCAGTCGCTGGTGTGCGACGGCATCAAACACTGCGAAGACGGATCCGACGAGGACGCCGACTACGCCGGATGTGGTGGGTTTCTGTTCCGCGTCTTATTCCTTTTATAACGGCTTCCTCCCACAGTCCAAAGACCTGCTCTGGGGATCAGGTGACTCTAAATCGCCCGTAGGTGTGTGAATGTTTGTGGGTCCCTGTGTAGCCCTGTGATTGGCTGGTGACCAGTCCACGGTGAACCCCGTCTATCACCTGAAGGCTGGGATGGACTCCAGCCCCCCTGCTGTGCCTGTGTGGTTTGACGATGGGTGGATGGTGACTCCCTGACTCCATGAGGTCTAATAGGCCTCCGCTTGTTCATACGCACATTGTGAATGTTCCTCAAACACATTTTCAATTTCATTATTTTTTTTCCAGTTCATCTTATATTCTGTGTGTGTGTGTGTGTGTGTGTGTGTGTGTTCTTCTCTCAGCCACGCCGTCGGAGTTCGGTAAAGTGTGCGATTCCTACACCTTCCAGTGCGCCAACGGGGTGTGCGTGAGCCTGGAGTGGAAGTGCGACGGCATGGACGACTGCGGGGATTATTCCGACGAAGCCAACTGCGGTGAGGAAGGAAAATGGAAACACACGCGCGCGTTGAATAAGAAGCACATCGACGTGAACGCGTGAATATTCTCCGCTTGCAGCGGCGCCCACCGAGGTCCCCGGCTGCTCGCGCTACTTCCAGTACGAGTGCAGCAACGGCCGCTGCATCCCGACGTGGTGGAAGTGCGACGGGGAGAACGACTGCGGGGACTGGTCCGACGAGGCCCAGTGCACGGGTACGGGTCGCCCCGGGTTACCACATTGCTTCCCTTTGCATTATGGGATCAGACTCGCCACAGACGTCACCAGTTAAAGGTTTCAGGGACGGGAAGATATGAATGATATTGGTATTTATTCATGTGCATAAAATAACACACAAAGAAGTTCAAATAAAACGTATATATGTTATAATGAAATATATTAAAGAAATAACACGAGTATGAAGCATCAGGTCATCTGAGGTCATCTTACCCGTAATGACACCAACACACAAGGTTATAACTGACAACGCTTTGGGTTTCTTATTTATTTTATTAGGCCCTCACAAGCATCATATACCTCGATCTACTACATTTAGATAAAAAATATTTATTGATGGTCGACAATAAATACCCCCCCCCCCCCCCCTCCTCCTCCTCCCTGCCGGTAGGCGGAGTCACCCCTCACACCGTGGCCCCCGGCCGCTCTACTTGTGCCCCCAACCGCTTCCACTGCGGCTCCGGAGCGTGCATCATCAACACCTGGGTGTGTGACGGCTACGCAGACTGTCCCGACGGCAGCGACGAGCTGGGCTGCCCCACAGGTAGAGACACGCACCTGTCCCACAGGTAGAGACACGCACCTGTCCCACAGGTAGAGACACGCACCTGTCCCACAGGTAGAGACACACCTGCCCACATGTCCCACAGGTAGAGACACGCACCTGTCCCACATGTCCCACAGGTAGAGACACACACCTGTCCCACAGGTCCCACAGGTAGAGACACACACCTGTCCCACAGGTAGAGACACACACCTGTCCCACAGGTAGAGCCACACACCTGCCCAACAGGTAGCGACACACCTGCCCACATGTCCCACAGGTAGAGACACGCACCTGTCCCACAGGTAGAGACACGCACCTGTCCCACAGGTAGAGACACGCACCTGTCCCACATGTCCCACAGGTAGAGACACATCTGCCCACATGTCCCACAGGTAGAGACACGCACCTGTCTCACATGTCCCACAGGTAGAGACACACACCTGTCCCACAGGTAGAGACACACACCTGTCCCACAGGTAGAGACACACACCTGTCCCACAGGTAGAGCCACACACCTGCCCAACAGGTAGCGACACACCTGCCCACATGTCCCACAGGTAGAGACACGCACCTGTCCCACAGGTAGAGACACGCACCTGTCCCACAGGTAGAGACACGCACCTGTCCCACAGGTAGAGACACACCTGCCCACATGTCCCACAGGTAGAGACACGCACCTGTCCCACATGTCCCACAGGTAGAGACACGCACCTGTCCCACATGTCCCACAGGTAGAGACACGCACCTGTCCCACAGGTAGAGACACACACCTGTCCCACAGGTAGAGACACACCTGCCCACATGTCCCACAGGTAGAGACACGCACCTGTCCCACAGGTAGAGACACGCACCTGTCCCACATGTCCCACAGGTAGAGACACGCACCTGTGCCACAGGTAGAGACACGCACCTGTGCCACAGGTAGAGACACGCACCTGTGCCACAGGTAGAGACACGCACCTGTGCCACAGGTAGAGACACGCACCTGTCCCACAGGTAGAGACACGCACCTGTCCCACAGGTAGAGACACGCACCTGTCCCACAGGTAGAGACACACACCTGTCCCACAGGTAGAGACACACACCTGCCCAACAGGTAGCGACACACCTGCCCACATGTCCCACAGGTAGCGACACACCTGCCCACCTGTCCCGCAGGTAGAGACGCGCACCTGTCCCACAGGTAGAGACGCGCACCTGTCCCACAGGTAGAGACACACACCTGTCCCACAGGTAGAGACACACACCTGCCCAACAGGTAGCGACACACCTGCCCACATGTCCCACAGGTAGCGACACACCTGCCCACCTGTCCCGCAGGTAGAGACGCGCACCTGTCCCGCAGGTAGAGACGCGCACCTGTCCCGCAGGTAGAGACGCGCACCTGCCCCGCAGGTAGAGACACACCTGCCCACATGTCCCACAGGTAGAGACACACCTGCCCACATGTCCCACAGGCAGAGAGACACACACATGCCCCGCAGGCAGAGAGACACACACCTGCCCACATGTCCCGCAGGTAGAGACACACACCTGTCCACATGTCCCGCAGGTAGAGACACACACCTGTCCCGCAGGTAGAGACACACACCTGTCCCACAGGTGGAGGTTCCCCGCTCACGTACCTGTGAACACAAGTCAAATGATTAAAGAGGAAAGAAAGAAGAATGAACAGAGGACAAATATAAACTGCTTGTTTCCCCGACAGCAGCCAACGGCAGCACCAAAACGCCGGCCCCCACTCAGGCTCCGCCCTCTCCCACGCGCTGCACCCGGGGTCAGTTCCTGTGCCGCCGCCCGCCCCGCTGCATCCCAGACTGGCAGCGCTGCGACGGCGTGCCGCACTGCCAGGACGGCTCGGACGAAGCCCACTGCCGTGAGTCCCCGAAGCAACGCCGCTGGAGAGGGGGGGGGGGGGCAGGTTAGGGTTTAATGGAGGTCAACGGATTTAGAAAAAGCATGAAAAGCACATCAAATACTAAAGTAATCAAACCGGTGGGATGTAATAAAAGAGAATTAATACATAATCAGACGCAATGATTGTTCATATTGCACCAAATTGTTAGTGTGGTGTTCACATTGGTGCCCCCCCCCCCCCCCCCCCCCGCCCCCGCCCCCCTCACAGCGACCCGCGGGCCTCTGTTCTGCGGCAACGGGACGCGCTGCTCTGACGGGGAAGCCTGCGTTCTGGACGGCGAGCGCTGCGACGGCTTCCTGGACTGCTCGGACCACAGCGACGAGGACAACTGCACCCGTAAGTCCATCGGGGGACGTCGTGTTTGGGGTCATTCTACGTAGTTGGTGTATTTCTACTGCAGCAACGCACTAAGTACCTCATGCATGGAATCAGTGCTGCCACCTGGTGGCTGCTGGCAGTGGCCTTTTTGTCTGTGAGATGAAACTAAACCGAGGACCCCCCCCCATCCCCTCCCCCCCCCCACACACACTTCTCTAGAAGACACCCTGGCCTATAAAGTCCAGAACCTCCAGTGGACACCTGACTTCCTGGGTGCCATCACGCTGACTTGGTCCCGTCCCAAGAGCCTCCCTGTGGACTCCTGCTACTTCCTCGTTTACTACAGGTGAGTTCGGATGAAATGCTGCCTTCAAGGGCCGTGGGGATTTACCAACCCGAACGGAGCACATCATTCGCTGAGTCCCTGGTGCTTCTTGTCGTGTCCCCCACCCCCACCAGGCTGGTGGGCACCCAGCAGTGGACCGTCATGGACACGCACAGCAACAAGACCAGCTACAAGCTGATGGTGCTGCAGCCCGACACCACCTATCACGTCAAGGTGCTGACCCAGTGCCTCAGCAGGCTGCACAAGAGCAACGAGGCGATCACCGTGAGGACGCCAGAGGGACGTGAGTATGAATCTGACATCGTGTTCCAAATGTCCAGTAAGTCTTTAACGTCTGTCCTGACCTGCAGAGTCCAGATTTCTTTAGTTAATCATTCCGTGTTTTCCAGAGAAATGCGGGTTGAATATCCTGTAAATAAATGTCGACCTCATCTTTAAAGACTTCACCACGCCGACCTTAAGGTGTGTGTGTGTGTCCTGCAGTGCCCGACCCCCCCAGGAACCTGCAGCTGTCCTGTGATAATGGCGAGGACGGGACGGTGGAGGCGTCCTGGAGCCCTCCGGACAAAGGACACGGCCTCGTCAGAGAGTACATCGTGAGTTTCTGTCTCCATGTTGTTGTTTCCTGCTCGAGTTTCGTTTCCGTTTGGAAGATGTTCTAAACGCTCGTGTCCAGGTGGAGTACAGCGAGCGAGGAGGTCCCGACTGGACGTCCCAGAGATGCACCACCACCAGCAGCGAGGTGAAGGAGCTGCAGCCGGACACTTTGTACCGATTCAGGGTGAGCGAGCCGTGACATCACAGAGGGGGGCGTGGCTTTCTGTGTGCGCGCGAGTGTTTCATGAGGCCGGCGTGTTCTCCAGGTGGCGGCCGTGACCAGTCGAGGTGAAGGCAACTGGTCCGAGGTTAAATCCATCACCCCCAAGAAAGGTACAGGAGGGACACAGGGGACACGCACACACACAGGGGACACGCACACACACAGGGGACACGCACACACAGGGGACACAGGGGACACGCACACACACAGGGGACACAGGGGACACGCACACACACAGGGGACACGCACACACAGGGGACACAGGGGACACGCACACACACAGGGGACACGCACACACAGGGGACACAGGGGACACGCACACACACAGGGGACACGCACACACAGGGGACACAGGGGACGCGCACACACACATGAGGGCACGCACACACACAGTGGACACGCACACACACACA